ATACTGTGTTGTTTTCGTAGCAGCCAGGAAAGTGGACCAGAGAAGAATGGCACTTTATTCAAGCCAATGCCCGATTTGTAGACAGATCTTTAGCAAGAAGGGAAATATGCATCGACATCTGAAAGGCCATTTTCCTAACGCAAGAAAGTTTGAGTGTGTTTCATGTGGCAAAGGATTTACAAGAAATGACTCATTAAAATATCACACGGTCATATGTAAGAAAGTTTACCAGGGAGAATCAAATGGCCTGCCATCGAAGATTTTGTAGCAAGAGAGAAACATAAAAAAACATTTTAGAATATAGAGAAAGATATAGTAAGTGTGAGTACTTAAGTCAATGTATAAATGTTCAAAATGTACATTTTTAAGAATTGTTAAATATACCATACAAGAAAAACTAAGAGAGTGTAATAGCTTGTTTCATTATATAGTTACTGTGATTGTAGTTGATCAGTGGTTTTGTATAGAATTAGTAATAATGTTTGTAAATTAATGAATTTTATAATAACTTTCCAAATGTCTCTGATCGGTTCTTGCTTGTGCATTTTGGACCACGAGATTAAAATAATGCTCAGATTGTTAAAAAAAAAAGTTCCTGCATTTTGTTATTGTGACCTTGATAAGGTTTTGGTAATTTGATAGTGTGTTTATACATTCCAAAGAATATTTTTGAATTAATTACTATCAATATTTGTGACTATTCTATGTTTGATATTATAAAATGTTGTTTGTGGTGTTAAAGACATTTCTTGCATGTATATTAAAGTTGTTATATATATAATGTAATATTATTAACAAAGGTTTGTATTCTAATCTAAGCTGTTACTTGGGCATTTCATATTATGGCTTTCTCCCTTAAACACAATAATGCTCAATCTTGATGTAAATTGTGACAGCTGTCATGTTGATTGTTACAAGTTACGACAGCTCTAATGGTAACATGTAAAAGAAGGGTGCCGTTGTTCAGGGTGTTAATGACTGTTATTGGTTGAAAGTACAAAAACTGACTACTCCATAGTAAAGCTCTCGAGAACTTTCACTAACACAAATGGTAAGTACTAATACAAAAGGGAGTGTAAAGTAGGGACTTGTTCCGGGGCTTGTGACATGTTTTATGGAAATTAATACAAGATGTCGATTAACTTACTGTTGGTTTTTTCTAAGTAATTATTGTATTTCTGACCCATACGTTTTTTAAGTACTGATAGTGTGGATGTGCAGTGAAAAGTTCAAGTAATTTACGTTAAGGAAAACTTATTAGATAGATTAACCATTGTGAGTAACTTAATAACTTATTAATAAGAACTTACAAGAGAAAGTAATGATGAGAGAATAATAATGCATCAATCACAATTATAAATGTTGTCATATGAAGTTTTTAACAAATTTCTCAACCACTAATATATATGCGAGTGTGGCACAGTTTTAAAAGATTTTTAACAAATCATACATTAGATAATTAATGATGTGGGAAAAATAATTTTAACTGTTAAAATAAGTATTATTTCAAAGAGTAATTTTTCTCATTTGCCTGGTATTTTGTGTGATATGTTATACAAGAAAGTGTTGTTTTTGTGCCAATATTCAATAAAAAAGAATTATTTGATCCAAAATATCTATAAAACAATTATCGAAAAGATCAATAAATATTCTAAATGTAAACTTGGAAAACATTTTCATTTCAAAAACAGTTATGACTTAGTTTAGTGCTTGAATTTAATTTAGTGTCAAGAATTATGAATTTTCGTTATTGTGGATTATGACATTGCATGAAAGTTGTTATTGTGAGTGATTTAATATTACCTTGTTACGTGACATTTGACAGAGAAGCTAACAAAAAATTAAAGAGTTTCTGTGTCACAAGAAGAATGCAAAATTTTAATGCGTACAAAATCCAGGATATGGAACGATGTGATTTCTTTCACTAGGGTTAACTCTTTCAGACCTGGCATGGCCAGGTGGTTAAGACATTCGACTTGCAATCTGATGGTCATGAATTTTAATCCCATCCCCAAACCTTCTTGCCCTTTCAGCTGTGGGGACATTATAATGTGATGGTCAGTTCCTCTATTTGTTGGTAAAGAGTTGGCTGTGGGTGGTGTTGACTAGCTTCATTCCTTCTAGTTTATCATTTCAAAATTATGGACAATTTGCACAGATAGCCTTTGAGTAGCTGTGTGTGAAATTTGAAAAAACATACATACAAACAATAAACTCTCTATTGTTATACAGCCGGAAAAATAAAAATTCTGTTATCTTAATTTGTTACATTTGGTTTATCATATGAAGAAGACTTGCAGAAGTATAATTTTATTTCTACAAAATATATTAGTTTGCACACTGAGGTGCTATATTAAAAAGAGAAGTGATATACACGGTTCATAATATTTCTTTACATCATATTTTCTTTTTGTTGTTCTAGATGTATAGTGAAATCTACTAAAGATATGGTTTTATATCTGTAAGTTAAAATAGAATCAGGTATTTTAAAGGTATTGTGATTGTTCTTACTAAACATTGTATGCAAAGTATTAAGATAAACATTCCTCACACTGATGATGTAATTTTTTTATGAATATCTATATCAGTCTAACTTGTAGTATTTTTTAAAGTTTTTTTTGTAGTAAAATTACATTTGTTTTTTAAGCCAGATTGAATTTGGTTAGGTGTGGCCTTGTTCAGAGCCGTACCAATCGTAGATGGTACTCTGTGTGAGCTATAAATTCTGCAGCCTTCCTCAGAAAACGTTTAGTCAGTGTTGACCTATTATTGCCCCATACAAGTCAGTGCTTTCTCTGGGCACACTGTTTGTACTGCCCTTCGTATGGCTCTACACTTGTTGTTTATGGGTGCTGTCCTGTAGATTGAAGGATTCCAGGTTTCAGATGTGATGTTGCTGAACATGCTCTGCACTCTCAGCTCTGGAAGTGACAGTTGATCTTGTTATCTGGTTCAAAGTCCTAGATGAAAACCTTGGAACAGAAGATGCTGCTGTCTGACTGCTCTCTCATTTTATCAGAGATGTCTATACTTGAACCCTAAAGATTTCTAACTTGGCTCTTTAGTCCACATTGGCATAAGTTGTCATTCAAGTTTAAACTTTCATGTTTTAGAATGAACTTAAGCATCTTATTGTAATCATCCAATCATCGGTCTAAACCTTCTTTTCCCATCATTAAAATGTTATTTTGTGGCATTTTATTTAAACTTCTCTTCCCCAAACTTTCCCAAGAGTTCTTGATGATTGGTTTTCCTTAAATTTTGACAATGTTTAGTAAGTTTGATAAAAAAATCTTTTCCTTCGTCTATTTTAAAAAGTTAATTAAATTCTTGGTATATAGCCAGTTGCAGTGCAGCATGAAAAGTATTCCATATCATTGGTCTGTTTATTTAATAATTTAGCCCAAGTGAAACCATTTACTTAATGGAATATGAATTTAAGGACATCCTTTTCTTCTGTACTTAAACTTGTTGCAATTAGTTTAATCTTTTTTTATTTATATTTGTGATATTGTTTAAACCTTTAATTTTCTTTACACAAATTTTATCATTCAGTTTAACCTTTATTATTTTTAGCATCGAGAAAACTGTATGGTTATAAATGAAGTGATTTTTGAGATATTCAGCACACATGGATGTACATAAAAAGAACTAATGATTGCTCAAAGAAAAATTCTAGTTTGTATTATTATTATTATTACAGGATTCAGTTAACCACTTTTAGTATTTCATTTATTTCTGCTAACGATAAGTTCTCGTGGATAAGAACAAAATATTTTTGTTACATTTGAAATTACACACTGGTTTTCTGTTCTCCTGATTCTGAAATTTGTTGTTGCTGAATGAATATATCTTGCTGTGGTGTATCTATCTTTTGAAAAAATAAAATATTTTTTTTTAAATACCTGTTTGTCTGCAAAAATGTCTTTGAGAGTTATTGACAAAAAAATCTTACTTGATTTGTAGAGATTTTTGTAACAAAGAAAATATGAACATTCTTAAGTACGATTGATTATTGTTTTAAAGGGAATAAACTGACGTAAATGCTTAAGTAATCCATCTGGTGAATACTATACATCTAGTGTGTATCCACTGGGGTACTCTGTATTGTGTAATAGTTGTTCGAAGAAAGGTATACGAGATGTTTCTTAGAGTAAGAGATAATTCTTTTTTTTTTAACTTACTGAAAGACATGTGTTATTGGGGAATGAAAGTGTAATTATATTATCTTTTATTTTTCAGGCATTAAAAAAAGAATGAAGTATATTATTACATTGACTATCATTCCAAACATAAATATAATATCTAAATCATTTTCACTTTAATTTACATTGCTAATCGTCATTTTTATTTTTTTACTATTATACTGTTTATTCAAATAAGCTTTTTTTTTTCTAAAGACATTTATGTAGATAACAATTTGCAACGGGGATTTGGAAATTGAATCTAGGTTTCTCCTAAGTGAGATGTTTAAAACTGTGAAAGGAAGTGGAAATAATAAATTAAGCATGTTTTTTTATTCATCCAAGTAACTGAGAAGTAACATGAGTGTACACTCTGTTGTTTATACTTAATATATTTACATTATTCAAACTGAAAGTTTAATAGTTTTTTTTCACATCAAATTTATCCTAGGTTTATACTTCCTAACTTTATACATTCAGAAAATGATAGTTCTTATATTACTTGTGCAATTCAAGACTGATAGAAATTTTTGAAAAAAGTTTTTATTTGTGTGATGAATAATGTGGTTGTTAAGCAAAATTATCATCTCTTAATTGATTAATTTTAATAAACTAATGATAAAATTTATGATACGCAGTAGTGCAATTATCATTAATTGTTATATAGATATATATAAGTGTAAAATTTATTGTTTTTAACAGCATGGAACACAATTTTTAATATTGTTTGACTTTTAACTTTTCAAGCTAGGTATTATCCTTTGAAATCAGAGGTTACATAAAAACAATGATTTTTCCAAAGGACTTGTACTTGCTAGTCTTTTTTTTTCTATTGTTCATCCTTCTGGTGTGAGTTCATACTTATTCCAAGGAGTACTACTGAGAATTGTACAAGTTAGTATGAGCGGAGGTTATCTCTTTAGAATATGTATTGGGTAGTCTATGGTATTCAGGTATGCTGATATTGAATAAAGCATAATGTAATAGTTTAAGTAGCTAAAAAAGATCTTACTAGTAAGTGCTAATTGGCTACTCAAACTAGCCCAGTTGGTAGAACATGAGAATCTTAATATTAGGGTTCAAACCCTACATTGAGCAGCAGCTTTCCTTTTTTTTTTTTGTAGTTTATTTGTGTTTTCTATTTCTTTGTGTTGGCTTTGAACCAGGTGAGTTCTCTACCAACTGAGCTAAAGGGTTAACCCCCTAGCATCAACCAGTAAGGCACGTTTTAACAACTCAAGCTACTACAGTAAAACAGCACCACGTATTTAATTGTGAATACCTTCAAAATAGTCTGTTTCTTGATATAGTAATCACTTCATTTCGATTAAGAAAAGCCTTTTGGTTTTACGCAAGAAAGTTTATGGTTCAATCATTAAAATATAAGTAAGTTTAAATATTGTTTGCATAAAATATGTGCACATGAGATAGTTTAATTTAAAAGTGTCTTAATGGCAGTTGCTAGGGGTTTAACACTTTAGCTCAATTGTTAGAAACCTTGTGTGATGTATGAAAATAATCGGGCAATACTGACAGACCAATGTTCTGTCGAAACATGTAGTATGTTCCACCATCAATAAAACCTTTCCTTTTGCTTATAAATCGTTTTTTTACTTACCTATTATTATATTAGCAGAATGTGCCTCATTACTCAAGTAACATTTCAGCTCAGTTAGTAGAACCCTCGTGTTATGTATGAGAGGATCCAAGGAACACTTTAGTTCAGTTGGTAGAGCCCTATCTTGATGTATGAGAAGACCCATGTAACAGCTTAGTTCAGTTGGTAAAGCCCTCCCTTGATGTATGAGAGAACCCATGTAACAATTTATTTCAGTTGGTAAAGCCCTCCCTTGATGTACGAAAGGAGCTGGAATATCACATGTACACATATATAGATACTATATTACATTTCTTACTGGTCAACAGAAATGAGGCTTCCTATTTATGTGAATGCAATATGTTTGTATTTATATATATATATATATTCCATTTAATAAAGAATATTTGAACACATAGAATCATTGTAAAAAGCATTTGATTTATTGCATAATACCAACACATTTGCATTAACGACTGAGTTTGTAGTGTTGTCAAAGATTGTTATTTGTGCTTTCAGTCAGATTTTAGAAAACTTGTTAGGCTTAAGCAAATTAATAATTCTGATTCTTCTTCCTTGGTGTAGATAATCAGTTTTCTGGCATGTGGATCACCGAAGAGTTTTCCAGAATGTGCAGTGTTTGTGGGAAAATGTTCACCAAAAAAGGAAACATGATAAGACACATGCAGCAACACAGACTGAAAGTCTTCAAATGTGACCACTGTTCTTACCAGTGTTCAAGATCTGACAATATGAAACGCCACAAATACAATCTCCATGGATCAGCAAAAAACCTAATTTAATAGGCAGTGTGTGATATTCGAAATTATTATTATTATTATTGTTTTTTATGTGTGATAGATGTATATTCTTAATTAACTTCTTATACATAGTTTATTGGCCCAGCATGGCCAGGTGGTTAGGGCGCTCGACTCGCAATCTGAGGGTCGCGGGTTCAAATTCCCGTCATACCAAACATGCTCGCCCTTTCAGCCGTAGGGGCGTTATAATTTGACAGTCAATCCTAGTATTCGTTGGTAAAAGAGTAGCCCAAGAGTTGGCGGTTGGTGGTGATGACTAGCTGCCTTCCCTCTAGTCTTACACTGTTAAATTAGGGATGGCTAACGCAGATAGTTCTCGTGTAGCTTTGCGCAAATTTCAAAAACAAACAAACATAGTTTATTCACCGTGGGAACAAGTCTTATTCACTCTATATGATGTATCGTGTATGTAAAATACAAAGAAAACCTTATGTGTATTTGCTGTATGTTCATGTGTGTGTGTACATATATATATATATATGTATATATATTTTATTTTTACATGAAGATGGTTCAAAGCTGATGTTCCACTGAAAACCTCTTGGAAACTTATAGGCTGTGAATAACGCCAACACAATTTTATAGCATGTCATTGAGGTTACTAGGCCTTTTTACCTCTAGGTTCTAATATTTGAGTACTTGAACTTTTGTTTTGACTGAATTAAGAGAAAATTTGCATGTGCCTTAATTACTTTGGATACCCTTAAATACTTCTTTTGTGGGGATACATTATACAAATATGTTATACCTGTTTAAATACCTGCTGATTTAACCCATTGACTGTGGCTGCTCTAAGTGCATGTAGAATTTTTGCAAGCCGTACACCATATGTGGTACACTCGCCTTCAACTGCCGGAGGCAGATCATACCCTATAGGGTGTATCAGCAATCGATGGGTTAACACAAGTGGACGGTTAAGATAGCTGTGGTGTGCATTGTCTACACTAGTGGTTCTCAAACTTTTTTTTTTCAGACCACAATGGAATCTATACACTGTACTGCCCTTTCTTTTATTATCCAATCTTTCCACGGACCGCCTGAAGGAAGCTTGTGGACCACAGATTGAGACCCACTGGTCTAGACTTTGTACAGTATTATTTTCACGCTGTAAATTTATATGTTGTCCTGACAAAGTTAAAATTATGTTGCCTCATATTTTGATTAATGTAACAAATACTTCATACATATATTTCTGAGAGACAACTAAAACTGGTCATGTTTCTATTTCTGGGGATTTCAACAAGTATTACTAAATTGTAAAACAAATCTCCCAACAAATGTAACACTTTATGATCATGTAATTTCATTTACAGTTGATATTACTTCTCTCGGATTTTTCACGTGTTAATATTTAAATCATTTAGATAATTAAAATAATGAATAGATTGTTTGAAGTCAGATTAATTTGGTATACTCACCTGCTTATCCAGAACTGAGAGAAGAAGAATTGTAATATATTTGATCCATGTGGTTCTATAGATGAGCACTACCTTTAAAATGGCATCATTCACAGTTATTTATTTAAACATTGTTATAATTACACAAATTTTAGATGAGAACATGATTGTAATTTCACATTAAATTTGGATTACTTATTAATTTTGTCCTAGTGATTAAAATTCTTTTTTAAATTAAAGGTATTAAAAATTAGTTATTAAACAGTTTTGAATATTTTAAGTTCTATTGTAAAAACTGTTTAAAGTTTGTGTAACTGAATTACATTGAATGTGCTAACAATACAACCATGATTACTAAACGGGAAGTGTTGAATATCATAGAATATTTGTTTGACATCTATTAGAGACTGAATAAACTGAGTAACATGACAACAATCTTGTTGTAGGACTAAACTTTTTTTATTATTACAGATAAAATACAGAGTTTGTTTTGTTGTGTATCTGTTTTTGACTTAATGCTTTTGTTATAGCTTGCTGACCATTTAGAATAATGCAAACATTAATTAATCGTGCTGTAATTACTTTTACATCAATATCTCAAAACATTTCAGTCGTACATTAAACGGTAAATCAGACGAGTTAAGAATATTTTGTTTAAGTTGACATATTTCCAAAAGTTGTCTATTTAGCTACACTTGGTACATCTTTTCACAGATAACCGAGGACCAGATTACTCTCACCCATCAAAAAGGATGTGCCCCATCTGTGGGCGAATATTTTCCTCCCAGAGCAATAAGATCAGACACATGAGGTTGCATTCTGTGGCTGATTGGAAACATTGTTGTAAAATGTGTGAGTTCTCTTCAACTCGAAGAGATGCTCTTCGGCATCACATGCGGGTTCGCCATGGATACAGTGCCGACCTTCATTGAATAACATCAAAAAGATAACTTTCCTAAGAAAATTGTTATAGTCTAAGCTTATATGTGCCTAGGTTGTAATATTGTGGATAAAGAAAGCAAGTTTCGATAAAATGTAAAAATTAAATCAGATAAAATTTTAGAACACCTTGATTTTTTTTGTCTTCATTTCACAGTTACATTAAATATTTTGTATTAGAAGAACTGACAGTCTTTAAACTTACCAACCAGAATTTATACTACTATAGCTGGAATATGCAAAGAAATATTTCTATAATTTTAAATACATTTCTTTTTATTCATAAAATTTTAAAGGGACAAAAAGGAGCTTCCAGCTCCCAACTATAACCACCCTTTACTACTTATGTATTCATCCAATCTTTTCTTGAACTCAGTTAAATTTTCTGCCTCCACCATCCTTGAAGGCAGCTCAATCCAAAAGCTGACCACCGTGTTTGAAAAGTAATACTTTCTGAACTAGAGACAACTCTTACGCTGCCAAAATTTGAATTTATGACCCCTTGTACTATTGTTTTTACTACTAAACAAAAAAGTTTGATGTATCTATATTATCAATACCCTTAATAATCTTAAACAGTTCAATCAAATCCCCCTCTGACCCTTCTCCTCTCCAGAGAAAAGTTTAGAGATTTTAGTCTCTCCTCATAGGAAAATCTCACCATCCCAGGTATCATCCTAGTGGCTCTTCTGTGAACCTTCTCCAATAATTCAATGTCTTTCTTGAGGAAGGGAGCCCAAAACTGTACACAGTACTATAAATGAGGCTTTACAAGTCATCTATACAGTAAAACAATAATATCCCTTGTCTTGTATTCAATATTTCTATACATGCTACCCAAAATCCTATTAGCCCTATTGCTAGCTACGATACACTGTTTAGATGACTTAAGTGATTTTTCGATCACAGTACCAAGATTTTGTTATTCAACCACAGTATTTAATGTATTCTCATTTGAATTGTTTAAACCTACATGCATCACCTTACATTTTGGATAGTTAAACATCATCTGCCACGTATTGGCCCAATGCATCAAATGATCTAAATATCTTTGTAAGTCTGAAGCATCTTTGATACAGTTAGTCACCCAAGAAAATGTTAATGTCATCTGCAAACTTCATGTTAACCATTCCAGAGTCAATATCATTAATATAAATCACAAACAGCAGAGGACCCAGCACAGAGGCCTGAAGCACACCGTTTGTAATTGTGATCTAGTCAGATCTAACTCCATTTATTAATACTACTCTCTGCTTTCTACTCTCCAACCAATTTTCTATCCAATTTAATAACATTTTCCCCTACACCCACAGATTTAATTTTTGTAACAAGTCTTTTTGTGAGGCACATTATCAAACGCTTTTTGAAAATCAAGGTAAACCTAATCCACAGTATTTCCTTCATCAACTCTTACAGTAACATCCTCAACTTAATATATTGCATTCAAGCAGATTTGGTGGTTTTAATGTTATTTTAGGACTTAAAACCACATATTTTGAGTAAATGAAGCTTTTTTTTTTCTTTCAGGAAAGTGAAGTATTAATTAATAGTGAAATAACTGATTGAAATACGTACTTCTTAGCAATAAACCATAACAAGTTATGCAAAATTAAAATTGTGTATCATACCCCCATTCTTTGACATTAGTTTTGTCAGGAATATGAGGTTTTATTGTATAACCAGGTTGTCATGCACAAATCTTAACAGGAACGGTAACGATCCTACGTTTGAGAGACGTTTATAAAGTAGTTAAAACGGAAGAATTTCTATTTTAAAAAGCTTGTAATAAATACATTAATGATAATGTACTCGTGACATTTAGAAATAGATATACAAGAATGTTAAAACAAGTTGTGACATAATCAACACATTAAACAAGGCATCTCAAATAATCTTAAGTGTATCGTAATGTTTTAAAGTGATTTGTGTAAACCAGAGTTTAGAAAATTATTAAATCAAGAGTGGTACAGCGGTATGTCTGCGGACTTACAACGCTAGAAAGCTGGTTTGATACCCGTGGTGGGCAGAGCACAGATAGCTCACTGTGTAGCTTTGTGCTTAACTTATAACAAATACATATCTTAAATAGTGTTGCGACTTATTCTGTATTTTCTTCCAGCAGCTGACCCTCCAAGTGGAAACAATCGCTCAAGCTAATATGAATTGTGGGTAATATGTGTCCTGGGAAAAGAAAGTAATGGATATAGTTTCAAAATGGACTTCTCCGTGTGAAACAATCCAGTTCTACAATAAAGTTTAAATCCACACTAACGGTACATTTACCTATTTTGATAAACCAGTTCTACTTTAACCATGCTCATATTAAGTTAAATCCTTCATTATCAAGTTAACTAGTCTAATTATCCAACACCACTACTGTTGAATAGACATTTAGAATTATTAACTTTAACACTGACAATTACAAAAATCCAGGATTGTACAGAAAATAGCTCACTAGCCATTCTCATTTAAACTTCTTCTTTGATCTACGACGTTATCCACAGAAGAAGCTAGAACTAGTTTTTAATAAAATTTTACTCAGATACCAAGAATTGTTCTTAGCAATATAGCCCATATACGATCACCAAAGTGTAATTATTAATTATTTACTAATTTTTATCTAACTACATACTGACTAGGTTTTATACTGTGTTTTGGCTGCTAATCTGTTTCCTTCAGGGAAATCCTAATAAGGACAATTTTTATCTTGGTAACAGAAATGTAATAAGGCAATAATATTTGCAACACCACCCCAATTGTAAATAACATAGTACGCCATTTTGCCACCCCTCACTACTTTGCGCCCGAGGCTACCACCTCACTCGTCTGTCCTAGTTATTGTTCTGAACTCGCTAGCTCCGTTGTTTTTATTTTCACAATATTTTACCCAAAGTCTAAAAAAAATTCAAGATTTCATACGTACATTACATGAAATTTAAACTTGGAAAATTTCTAGGCATCAAACATCATCATTAACGCTAATTCCCTGGTGTAAGCAGTATGAAACATCTAAATTAAAATATTAAAAACATAGCCAACAACACTGCTCCTACCTGGATTGTAAAGTCGCCTGAACAATCCTACCACACAAATAATAGTTTATTAAACTTAAATTTAGACTAATAATAAAGTAACCTTTTACAATTAATAAATATTGATATTTGTAAATAGATATTGCAATCAATAACCTGCCTCTTATCTATAGAGATCTTTTTTTAAATAATCTTTTTATGTGGCATCTTGAAAAATGCTTTTTGAAAATCCACATTCTTACTCTCATCTACATATTCATTAACCTCTTCAAAGAATGTCAAAATATTAGTAAGGCAAGATTTTTCCCCTGTGAAGCCATATTAACTATCCAACAAAAATTTAACATTTGTTTAATGACTTTGCAAAGCATCTTTTATCAGACTTTTAAAACTTTTCCTACCCATGATGTAAGACTAGGATACCTATAATTATCAGGACAATTTAAAGGAGTAACATTAGACAAGTTCCAAACCTCTGGCACCTGCCCACTATTAAAAAAAAAATAGTAGCAAGTGGCTCACAAGCTAATCCTTAATCTCCTTTAAAATACTTGGAGAAATCTTATCTAATCCAGGAGCGTTACCATTCTTTAAACTTCCAAATATTTGTCTTAATAAGCTCAGAATTAATGTTATCATCTCGTTTAATCTTGCTTCTATCTAAAAACTAGTCAGGACGAAGAATATTACTTGCATCTTTATTAGTAAGAATCTAAGAAAACGTATAATTCAATAATTAAGCAATCTCACAATTATCAGATATTAATTTTCCTTCATCATTCTTCAAAGACCATACTCCCATGTTAAGCATTTTGCAAACTTTTAATGTATTTTTAAAAATCCTTACTATTAATTTTTACATCTTCAGATAACTTTTTTTCCTAAACCTTTTTAATTTCCTGTTTGACTAGCTCTCTTGATATTTTATAATCTTCTCAGTCTCACGTTATAACAGTTAGTTTAAACTTCCTAAAGTTATTACGCTTTATCTTTAATTTTTGTCCTTTGCACACTTTGTGAGCCAACCTGGTTTCCCTTGAGCCACCCTTTGTTTCTATAAAGAAAATGTCTCTTGAATATTTTAAAACTTTCCAAATTTCACCAGCCTCCAATTAATTCATTCCCTAAAACAAAACGGTTAATTATTGTCACATCCCTCCAAAGTCTGCTTTTTTATTTGTAACAAAAATCTCATTATTTTGTTATTTACATATGCAGTAAGACATCAAACCTAATAGAGCAATGATCACTTGCAACTGGATATTTCTTATTCTCCATGTTTTTAACCATTTCTATATTAGAAGGTAGCAAAAATCTAAAATTGCGTTGTTTTTGGTAGCATCTCTGACAAATTGGTGAAGAAAACCATTCTTAACCGTTTCTAAAAACGTGTCTCCTACATGGTTTGGCTCTAAACTTTCACAATCTATATGCCTGAAATTAAAATAGCATATACTTATGATCTCATTTTAACAGCTTAAATATTGTTACGTCTCTGGTCGTTTGTTAATTTCCCGTAAAAATTCGTTCCGAAGAAGTTTAGAGATACAAGTCCTTTCTTAAATAAAACTAGTTAATTCTTTCTCAATACAACTTTGCAATACACTTAATTTCCACAGTCACTTTAACTTAAACACACGCTATAATTCACAACGATTCACGCATTTTACTTACGACTTGAATCGATTATCTGTCTCTATATCTCGCTTTATTTGCCGCTCTTATATACAAGAATAGAGGGCGTCTAGAATGCACTCGCCTCTTCATGAACCTTCTAGACACTTATCACGTGTTACCAGCGTCACATTACCTCCGCTGTCGTAACAATATTTATCTCGCTGTAGAGTTTCATATAAATTTCATCAGTTTCATCTGGTGGTCTGTAACAAATTCCCACTAAAAGCCTTCTCCCCCTATAACAACCAATAGTTTATGTATTTTAGAACAAAGCCACATTGGCCATCTTTTGTGTCCACTGCGGCAATCGAACTCTTGAGCTTAGCATTTTAAGTCCGCAAACTTACCTCTGTCCCTCTTGGGGACACTACTAACAGAAACCCAAAGATATTAAGCAAAGAGATGATATAGTCGTCAAATCAG